GTGTATGGTGGTGGTGGTGTGTGTGTGTATATTCATGTAAGTGTGGTGTGTGAATGTGTGTGTATGGTGGTAGTGGTGTGTATGTGTGTTCATGTGAGTGTGGTGGTGGTAATGGTGGTAGTGTGTGTGTTCATGTAAGTGTGGTGTGTGAATGTGTGTGTGTGTGTGTGTGTGTGTGTGTGTGGTGATGGTGGTAGTGTGTGTGTGTGTGTGTGTGTGTGTGTGTGTGTGTGTGTGTGTTCATGTGAGTGTGATGTGTCAATGTGTGTGTGGTGGTGTGTGTGTGTGTTGCTGGAAGCTCAATCCAAGGTCTTGCACATGCCAGGCAAGCACAGTACTGTGAGCTACATGCCCAGACAGTTACATTTCAAATTAAAATATATTCACTGCGTATGATCCTACCATGATGCACACCATCATTTGTTTGCTGTATTTACCAAGAATGCACGATGTCTCCGCTGGTCTCTTGCTCATCCTTGTACTTTGGTTTTAAATTCATCTACAAAGAGTTATGATGCAGGTCAACTGGATTGCATGGGGAGTCCAGGACAATAGCAAGAATCTAGAGGGGTGTTTTCTCATTGTTGGGAAAGATGAGTGATAGTCTATGACTCTCAATCTGTCTCCTGTGACTTCATCTGTCTCCTGTACACTTCAGTCTGTCTGTCTTCTGTACACTTCTCAGTCTGTCTGTCTCCTGTGTGACTCTGTCTGTCTGTCTCCTGTGTGACTCTGTCTGTCTGTCTCCTGTGTGACTCTCTGTCTGTCTCCTGTGTTTGTCTTGGGGAAGCTGAATGTCTTCAGAGGGCTCAGTCCTCAGCAATAGTCTCTGCTGTGCCCTGCGGTGGGTTGATTGTTCCTGGGATCAAAGCCATTTCAGTTTAGTCATTTTATGGGAGTTTTTTCTGTTATGTGCTGAAGAGGCCTTCCTAGAGTCCCCAAACTGGGGTCCCATGGGAAAAGCTGGGAGGTGAGGAAGGACAGAGTGAGGAGAAATTGACAGAAGAAACCCCTTAGGTCCTACAAAGGAAGGGAAACATGACTCAGATGCAGTCGAGGCTTTAACAATGGCCTGGTGCAAAAAAAAAAAAAAAATTACAATAATCAGGGAATGTTCAGCACCAGAGCTTCTGGAATTGGGAAAGATTATTTTAAATGAACAATGGAAGAGTCTGGCTCAGGTTGGCTCATGGGGCTTGGAACACTGAGATGGATAGGATCAGTATGAGTACTGTGGGATCAGAGAAACTGGGTATTAACCCACCCCACGTTGAGACAAAGGCTGCCTAACCTGAAGAAATATGTGGAAAAATCAGTTCGGGTCAGGCTGGCTCAGCTGAGCCACTAGACACTTGACTACAACCAGCTGAGGTCCCTATAACCACGGACCGGAAAACATAGAGGAGGAAGTGGGTAAGAGAGGTCCTGTCTGACGCCCACTCACTGGGCCCAGTCAGGGTGTGTTTCAGGAGAGTAAGAAAGGTTGAGGGCTGGAGGGAGGGCGCTGAAGTTAAAAGCACTTGCTGCTTCTGCAGAGGGCCCAGGTTTTCCCAACACCACACGGTGCCCACAACCACCTGTGACTCCAGTTCCAGGAGACCTGGCACCCTCCTATGCCCACGTCCCAGTAGATAACCCATACCCATAAGCATATGGACAGCACTAGTTGGACTCAGTGGGTTATTCAAAAGAGGAGAGAAGACACGAAGATGGAAAGGAGATACATCTGGGGAGTTGAAGGGAGGGAGTAAGGATGGATATAATTGATATACTGTGTATATATATAGAATTTTCAAATAATTAATGAAAAAATGAAATACCAAGAACCAAACTAACCAATAATAAATAAATAAGTAAACCCTGAATGGATGAATGGATGAACTGAATACCGCTCTCGATGTAAGAGAACAAATGGACAATGAATGCTGGTCAACGTGTTCAGCACCCTTCGCTAACAGAGAAACGCAAATTAAAACTGCTGTGAGAGCCTGCCTCACTATGGTCCAAATGGCTGCCATCAAGAAAATCAACTGGAAAGGATGTGAACGCTGAATCCTGACGCACAGGCGGTAGGAGTGTAAGCTGGTTCAGCCACGCATTGCAGAAGTCAGTGTGGTGATTTCTCAAACAAACAAAAATCCCTAAAATATTGGGGTTAGAGAGACATCTTAGCAGTTAAGAGCAGGGGACCCCAGCAGTTAAGAGCAGCTCCCAGAACCCGCATGGTGACTCAGAGCCATCTGTATGGGATCTACCGCCCTCTTTTGGCCACAGCAGGCACTGCATGCATGTGGTGCTTTGAGACAGGCAGGCAGAACACCTATACCCATGAATTAAAAAAAAAAAAAAAGACTTAAAAAAAATTAACTCAAACTAGAACTACTGTATGACCCAGCTGGGCCACTCCCAGATAGACCAAAGAACTCTTAAGTCCGCACAGTGCAGAGACGCCTATACATCTGTGTTTATGGTTGCACAAGTCGTAAGAGCCAGGAAGTGAAACCAGCCCAGATGTCTATCAGCACATGAATGGATACAGAGAATGTGGCACATGTTCATATGGGGACCTTATATTCAGCTGTAGAGAAAACTAAGTCATGGCATTTGCGGGAATACGAATGGGATTGGAGATCGCTATGTGAGGAGAAATGAATCAGTCAGACAAATGCCGTGCTTTCTCTCAAGTAGAATCTAGACTAAAATGAGAGAGAGAGAGAGAGAGAGAGAGAGAGAGAGAGAGAGAGAGAGAGAGAGAGAGGGAGGGAGGGAGGGAGGGAAGGAGGGAGGGGGGAAGGGGGAGGGGGAGGGGAGAGAGGAGAGTAAGGGAGTACCTGTGAAGGCAGAAGGGGGAGTGTGAGAGGACAGTGGGGGAGGGGACAGATTAAGGACTAAGCATGATGACACCAATTCTGTAATGAACCCCCTTTGCATGGTAACTTAAAAAATAATAAAGAGCAACAATCTCAAACCCTCATCAGTCAAGTCCCACTTTCTCCCTGCCAATTAGCCAAGGGCTGAAGAGTGCTTCCCGGGTGTGTATCTGTTTTTATATGATGCTGACAGCCCTGCCAGAGGAAGCATAAATTAATAACATTCTAGAAAAACAAAATTTTGATATCAAGGGTTTAAAATATTCATGTTCTTTAAGCCTCTAACTTCGTGTAAATTTAAACACTGGCAACAGCCCATGTGTGTGAAATAAGGAGTCAGGTTTCACAGAGTGCTACACACACTGCAGCCCATTAGAATCGTGCTTACAAAGTGTCCTAGTTAGGTTTACTACTGCTGTGATGAAACACCATGACCCAAGCAACTTGGGGAACAAAGGGCTTATGTGGCTCACACTTCCACACCACAGTCCATCACTGAAAGAAGCCAGGGCAGGAACTCAAACAGGGCAGGCACCTGGAGGCAGGAGCTGATGCAGAGGTCATGGAGGAGTGCTGCTTACTGGTTTGCTCCCCATGGCTTGTTCAGCCTGCTTCCTGATAGACCCCAGGACCACCATCCCAGGGATGGAATCACCAACAAAGGCCTGGGCCCTTCTCCGTCAACCACTAATTATGAAAATGCCCTACAGCTGGATCGTATGGATTTCAATTTTCTCAACTGAAGTTTTCTCCTTTCAGATGACTCCACCTTGAGTCATTTGACATAAGACTAGCCAGCACGCAGGGTGATCTGTGCATGTAAGGAAGTGGCCTTGGGAGGTGCCACCTGGGTAACTGCTCCCGTCAGCATGAGGTGAAGTTGCAGGAGGATGATTCCTTGGATGGGAATGGCCGTGCGTGTCCCTCTGCTGTTTATGTGAGCCTTTTCAACAGTCACATCATCATCCCCAGGCTTAGGTGAGGAAGCTGGCCACTACCACCCAGGACAGAAACACTGTTACCGTCACACTTTCAGACTTCAAATTCTTTTTCTCTTTTATATCAGAAAATATACCTCCAGTTCACACTCCAGGTTTATTTATTATCTTATGTGTATGAGTATTTTGCCTGTAGGCATCTATGTTCACCACGTGCGTGCCTGGGGCCTACAAAGGTCAGAAAAGGGCGTCAGATCCCCCAGGACTGGAGTTACAGGCAGTTGTGAGCTACAATGTGGGTGCTCAGGAAGAGCAGCCAATGTTCTTAAGTACTGAGTCATCTCTCCAGCTCCAGTTCACACTCTAAATGTCCTTGCTGTGCCTGGGAGGCCACTGCCTGGCTTGACCAGTACAAGAACAGGTTTACCCCCTAGAATGGTATACAGATATTTACTCAGAATTCACAGGATGTATTAGTCAGGGTTCCTATTGTGAAAAAAACACTGTGATCAAAAAAAACTTGGGGAGGAAAGGGTGTGTTTTGCTTACACTTCCACATCATAGTCCAACATCAAAAGAAGTCAGAACAGGAACTCAAGGCAGGAACCTGGAAGCAGGAACTGAAGCAGAAGCCATGAAGGAGCTCCGATTACTGCTCACAGACCAGCACTTGCTCAGTCTGCTTTCTTACATCATCCAGGACCACCAGCTCAGGGGTGATAATGCCCACAGTGGGATAGGCCCTCCCCTATCAAATTTTAATCAATAAAATGACCTCCAGACTTTCCCATAGGCCAACCCAGTGGGAGCATTTTCTCAATGGAGGTTCCCTCCTCTCAAATGACTCTAGCTTGTGTTAAGTTGACAAAAACGCTAACTAAGGGCACAGGACCACAGCAGGAGTGGTGTGTAGAAACAGCATGTCTTCTCTGCTAGAAATCACTCCACCATTTAGAGATTAATAAGGAAAAACTCTTTAATACTAGCGCATGACTGACTCTGCACCAGGGAACCAGCCCCCAACAGAAATTCCATTGGCGTATAAAGTTTCACAGCCCCAGATTACAATTTTAAGCCATTAAAAATGTTTCATAGGGGCAGAAATGTCAAGGTTTGGTTACTTGGACAAATTGGAAGATTTATGATTTGAGAATAGTGTGGTAGTTATCAGGGAACAGACAGGGTACTTTACCAGGCAGCCGTTAACCAAGGCTGTGCTTCCTGCCTCGCAGAACGATCCTCTTCCCGATGAGAGAACCAGGGGCACTCCTCTAGCTAACTTCTTTGTGTGACTTCATAGTTCCTAAGCAAATTTAGTACATCCTTTATTACATCAATGTATTATTCTCAGCTGTTTTTTTATATCTGTGAGATTATTAACCGGCATTGGCACAGAGCTATAATTAGGCTAAGTCTGTATAGTGCTTGCCACAGAGGCATGGAGACCTGAGTTTGATCCCTGCCACATCAGAAAAGTTGGGCATGGCTGCACACACCTGTAATCCCAACCGTGAAAGGGAGAGACAAGCAGATCCCTGGAGCCCATTGGCCAGCCAGCCTCGTCAACCAGAGAGCTCTAGATCAGTGAGAGACCCTGTCTCAAAAAATAAGGTGGAGGAGCTGGAGAGATAGCTCAGCTGCTGAGAAGAATACTGATTGCTCTTGCAGAGGACCCATCTGTAACTCCAGTTCCAGGGGATACAATACCCACTTCTGACCTCCGTGGACACCAGGCATGCAAGTAGTACACATACATACATGTAGGCAAAACAGTCACACATAAAATAAAAATGAGTAAATATAATAACAAACAAACAAATAATAAATAAATAAAAAGGTAGTGAGCAATTGAGGAAGACACTCAGCATCTACCTTGGGCCTCCCTATACACATGCATACAAATCCATAGGTACACACATGAATATATAAAAGTACTTATATGCACACATGCACACACACCCATAGGCGCACACATGAACGTGTGTGTACAAATACGTATAATAAATACCCTTGTTGTTCTCCTTGAAGTCACCGGGAAAAGGATGGCTCAGCATTGCAACCTTGGGCAGGGCACTTCAGGCTCTGCCTCTGCTTCCTCATCTGTGAAGAGGGAATACAGATGTTGAGATGTGATGAACTATGCAAACCGATTATACCTCGTGTCTTGGCCACAGTACTCCCAGCAATGACAGCCTATCACTGACCCTGGTTTCGATTTTGGGGAGCACAGAACATGAGATGGACACAATGCAGACACACTGGGGAGAGGCGCACAGTGCTATGCAGTGTCCCCAGCACAGAGCACTGTGGGTCACGGAACACAGGTGAGCAGCAGCCGGCACCTCACTGAAGAGGCTCCTCGCAGATTAGTCTCCCGGCAGAGAGCAAACTTGCAATAAGTTTGCAGGTGAGCAAGAGAAAAACCAGTGTCTCCAGGAGAGAGATGTGGGGTAGGCAGGTGAGCAAAGCCAAGCCCCTTTGCCCTGCCGGGAGGACAAGTTCGCTCTCTAGCGATACACAGCAGCTCACTCACAATTCACAGGACCTCTGCGGCGGTGGGATTATTAATGACCCCCTTCACCCAGTGTAATTAGGCAAACTGCTGGTGCTTTCTCCAAGTAAATATTTTGACTTCTTGCTTCCTCTCTGTCACAATAAAATTCTAATCTAAGCTCCTTCTCATGGGGAAGCTGCGCCTGAGAGGAAGCTCCTGGGAGCATGGCTCTTCTTAGCCAGCAGATCGATTCCACCGCCCCGCCTTGGTCTTCTCCCCTGGCAGGGCCTGAGACAGTCCTCCCATGCCAGTGAGCTGTGTCCTCAGGCCTCTGATGAAAAGGGTCAACGTGGTCCAGACAGAGCTGCCATACACAGGCCCCGTGAGCTGAGCCGTCATCATCCTCTGCCATGGTCTCCTAGAAGCCACTGGACCAGCTCTACCAGCGAGGCATCTCCACGGTGCCTCAGTGACTCAGGAGGTCACATTCCCTTTGCCTCCTGCTAAAGATAGCTCGGATTCCAGCTCCCTTCTTCCATGTAGGGCTCCTTCCACCGATCCCAGGGTCTCAGAAAGTGACCAGCTTCTCTGAGCATCAGGAAAGGGTCCCTGAGGCATCTTTCCTGGGGAGTAAGCAGCTACTCTCTTATAAAGGGATGCACAGCACCTGGGAAGCACCCAGACTTTGCCTTGTGCACATAGATGTAACAGCAAAGAGCTCATATTTTCTAGAAAAACCCCAGGATTAAATCTGAGCAGCCGAAGAAAACTTAAGCAGGTTAGCTGGCAGAGTGGGTCCCTAGAGACCCATGTCTGTGCTCTCTGCTCTCACTTTCCAGATGGTTTCAGTCTCATAAGCCTATACACAGAGGCCACCAAGGCATGTGCAGGTCTGTATGACAAGTCCTGGGCCTCCATTAACCAGCTTCCCTGTGGCACCCCAGCACCCACCACACAGATTCTCAGGTCACCAGTGAAGCCCCTGTAGACACTCTAACCCCAACCTGTGAGTCTCCTGATTGTCCCAACAAGCTGAATTGTCAGGAACATTGTGGGAAGCTGGAGCAAGTGCAGATGTCAGATGTCCATGGCACCCCACAGAGGTCCTCAAGGCACTTGGAGTTAGAAAGTGGTCCCCGTGTCCAGAACTGGGGTAACTCTGAAGAACAACTCAGTCCATGGTGCCCAGGACCAGGTGGAATTCTGACCCTGGGAAAGTAATTAGGGCACACACACTGCCTGGCCCATGTGGGCAACAATCTAGCAGGAGAGGGTTGGGGAGGTTATGGGGCCTTGGTGTTAACATGGAAGACAGAACTGTAAGAGTCCTTGCAGTGAGAGAGCTCAGACCCCAGAGCAGAGAGCATGCGGTGCTTGCCAAAGACTCCCTCCTCCCACTGAGCATCCTGAACAAAAGCCTGCATCCATTCCGCTTTTCAAACTCTCTACCGCTTAGTATTTTCCAGTCATCCATGGGCCCAGGGCTTTTGTAGAATGCAGCCAGAGATGGTTACCTTTTTAGTGACCATGCCCTGGCACGTCACAACTATACCAGGTTCTAGGGATGGCAGAGTGCTGGGCAGTGCTCAAGTGTGCCTGTGTGGCCTGAGGCCAATTCTCAGAGAGACTCAAACCTTCACTGGGTACAATGACAATCTGTGGACATAGTCATTGAGATTCTAAACATGAATTTTATCGAATCTTTTGATTGTTGCAAGTTTAGTGATTTTTTTTCCCCTGCCACGTGAAGATGATGCTGAGTTGGCTGGAATTAAAACATGCTTTGGGGGTTGGGAGATGCTAGGCAGGCATGGGGACCTAAGTTAGGATCCTCAGCACCACTTAAAAGGTCAGGCAGGGCTGTACACACCTGCTGTCCCAGTGCTTGGGGCAGATGTAGGAAGGTTCTTTTTTTTGGTTTTTCGAGACGGTTTCTCTGTGTAGCTTTGCGCCTTTCCTGGAACTCACTTGGTAGTCCAGGCTGGCCTCGAACTCACAGAGATCCGCCTGGCTCTGCCTCCCGAGTGCTGGGATTAAAGGCGTGCGCCACCACCGCCCGGCGTAGGAAGGTTCTTAAGGTTTGCTTGCCAGCCAGCCTAGCCAGCTAGTAAAGTCTGGGCTCAGTAAGAGCCTGTCCTGCCTAGTTTTTTGTCAACTTGATACCAGATAGAGTCATCTAATACGAAGGGACCTCAGCTGAAAAAATGTTTCCGTAAGATTGGAGACAGGCATCTCGTAGGGCATTTTCTTAGTTAGTGATTGGTGTGAGAGGGCCCCACTCACTGAGGGTGGTGCCATCCCTGGGGAGACCAGGTTGAGTTATCTATGAAGAACAAGCCAGTAAGCAGATCTCCTCTGTGGTCTCTCCTGCAATTCCCGCCTCCAGGTTCCGTCGTCAAGTTCCTTCCCTGACGTCCCTGGATAATGGGCCACGAACTGTAAGATGAAACAAATTCTTTCTCCCTAAGGTCAAGGTGTTTTATCCTAGCAATAGAAAAGTAACTAAGATGGAGACCCTGCCTCAAAAAACGAAGGGAAGACTGGGGAGACTGGTGCAGTGGGTAAGGTACCTGCTGTGTAAGCATGAGGATCTGGGTTCAGATCCCCAGACCCCACAGAAAAGCAGAGCAAGGTGGCACATGCTTATAATCCCAGTGCTGAGAAACAGGATCCTGGGGACTCACTGACGAGCCATTCTAGCTGAAACAACAAGCCCCGAGTTAAGGGAGAGACTGTTAGTCTCAAAATACAAGGTGTAAAGTGATAAAGGAAAATACTTGGTTAACCTCTGCTGTGGATATCATTCTGTATAAATAAAACACTAATTGGCCAGTGGCCAGGCAGGAAGTATAGGTGGGACAAGGAGAGAGGAGAGTTCCGGGAAGCGGAAGGCTGAGAGAGACACTGCCAGCCACGGCCATGACAAGCAGCATGTGAAGACACCGGTAAGCTACGAGCCACATGGCAAGGTATAGATTTATAGAAATGGATTAATTTAAGATATAAGAACAGTTAGCAAGAAGCCTGCCACGGCCACACAGTTTATAAGCAATATAAGTCTCTGTGTTTACTTGGTTGGGTCTGAGCAGCTGAGGGACTGGCGGGTGACAGAGATTTGTCCTGACTGTGGGCCAGGCTGGAAAACTCTAGCTACAAACCTCTGATCTCCAAGTGAGCACACCTGCACACATATGCTTACAACACACACATAGACACACACACACACACACACACACACACACACCATGCTTTGACTTAAGGAGAGAAAAGGAAAGTGTCATCCTATTCTTTTCCCTGAGATGTCCCCAGCCATGGAGACATTTCAGGAGTCCCATTCTTCATGGCGATCGGTTCTACGTTCTCTGGTCCATTTGCAATGTCATGAACCTGTTTCCCTAAGCATGGATCCAGGTCGGCTCACAACCCCAAGAGCAGACAGAAGGACCCGTAAAGAAGATGCTGAGAAAGGCCCTAAGTCACAGCTGCTTCATGATTACTCACTGTTGATTACAAGGAGACCTCAGGGATGCTGACGTCATGGCCGTTCTGTTCATCGTGTTCAGGGGGAAGTGCAGCCTCACTATGAGAAAACTGTTCCCCCTCAAGCAAGAGTACTGTAATCTGTTAACTGTTCATTTTCATGACAGGTAAACTGAGACGGAGGAGCAGAGTGTCAGCAGCAGTGAAAACATGGCTCTGGGCTGTTGAACAGTGTTCTAAGTGCTGCATTTAACTCACAGCTGGCTACAGGTTGTTTTGTGCAACCTGTGTTGGGGCAAGCCACAGCACCAGGAAGGGCAGGGCCAGATTACCCCTCCAGTCCAACTCGGTAAGATCAAACAAAAAAGCAGTACAGCCCTTGCAAGAGAACACCGGCTGGTCTTGCTGTAGCTTCACAGCTTGGGCACTCCTGTAGGGCCTTTCCTTGACAGTGAAATGGTCCACCCATTGGGTGTGAGGAGGCATACCTGTGACCCCAGCACTTGGGAGGCTGAGGTATAAAGATTGCAAGTTCCAGAATAGCCTGGGCTACAGAACAACAAATCCACCAACTCCCCACACCCTCTAGGAGTCCAGTGGCTCAGAGATGCTGAAAGAGTATCCTGCAGCAAAATAATTCTGCCTTCACTCGATGCTCACTTCATAAATGCCACCAACGCGGTCCACCAAGCCAGGGACGCAGCAGCCACCCCAGCTCCCCATTTGGAAAGCTTATTTTCTAGCCTCTGTACAAGCTGCACATGGTCGATTTGGCCATGCATACACAAGCACTGTCCAGTGCAGTGGCCTTCGCCCACCCTCCTGAGTTTCCTTCCTGCGTCTAGTACAGGATGCGCCCACAGCCCTCTCCACTCTCAGCAATGTCTCCACTGTCCAGAGCATCTGGTGAGTGGACACACACAACAACTAATAATGTCTGAATACCATGATGATCTGGTCCCCACAGGCTGCGTTTTGATAACAGAATCAGCCCCTTGAATGATGCTTTGTTTATCTTACCACGAGCAGCACATATCCACTACAGCCAAGTGTTCTTCACCCTCCCAGGGAGGCTGGTACAGGTCCTGGTGGCTTCTGCTTGTGTGTGTATTTTCTTCAACATTTTCATGAAAAGAAACTATAAAACCATTTTTTTTTAAAGAATATCATTTTCCTACAGGCCCTGTCGGTGTTAGATGTTCCAGAACAGAACACGTGCAAGTTAATCTAACACCTCGCACTGTCAGCCTGTCTATCTGCTGGGATGTGAGCTGCCCACTGCCTGGTGGGTCTTCCACTGCACAGCCTCCGTCACGCATAGGGAAGCCGTGTGAGTGTACATACCAGAAGAACGAAGGGAGCTGGCTCATATCCTTACCCAGGAAGGGGAATCACCCCCCTGCAGCCCCATCCCCTGCAGCCCCATCCCCCTGCAGCCCCATCCCCCTGCAGCCTCATCCCCCTGTAGCCCCAGCCCCCTGCAGCCCCATCCCCCTGCAGAAGCATCCCCCCTGCAGCACCATCCCCCTGCAGCCCCATCCCCCTGAAGCCCCATCCCCTACAGCACCATCCCCCCTGCAGCCCCGTCCCCTGCAGCACCATGCTTTGGGTACCAGGGATGTGGCCCTGGTCATCTGACTAATAAACTCAGTTCTCTGGACCCAAGCTCAAGAGAGAAGGTCGGGCCCTCAGGGCCTCTCCCTCTCTGTTTTGTTGTCTTTCACATTGGAAGGCATATGGGACCCTGAGTGTAAGCTAAGACCCAATACTCTAAATCTAAAACCAAAACCTCCATATCACTGACAAGAAAGAGGAGAGAGGGGGAGACAGAGACAGAGAGAGAGACAGACAGACAGACAGAAAGAGAGAGACAGAGAGAGAGAGAGACAGACACAGAGAGAGAGACACAGAGAGAGACAGAGACAGAGAGACAGACAGAGAGAGAGAGACAGACAGACAGAGAGAGACAGAGAGAGAGACAGTTAGAGAGAAAGAGAGAGACAGAGACAGAGAGAGACAGACAGACAGAGAGAGACACAGAGAGAGAGACAGAGAGAGAGACAGAGACAGAGAGAGACACAGAGAGAGAGACAGACAGAGAGAGAGAGAGAGAAGGAGAGACAGAGACAGAGATAGAGACAGAGACGGGGCGGGGGGACTTCAAACAAATGTACACTATTCTATTCTGGGAGAGACTGGGAGGCCGTTCCACTGATCCATTACTTAGGACCCTGCATCGGGTCCGTGCACTGACCCGGCTGCTGTTCAATAAACACTCCCAGATGGGGGCAACAAATGCAATTCTCACCTCAAGTGCTTTCTCTTCATTCTAGCATGAAGACTCGGCCTCTGAAATAAAGTTCTTTCTCTCCGCTGCTTCCTCCTCCTGATGGCTGTGAGCCTGGGGTGCTGAGAGGGCCTGCTGTGAGGCAGGCAGTAACCAGCACTCCCCGGCTCTGCCTGTGCTGGCCCGGCACCTTTCCAGCAAATTGGCTTGTTGTTTTTCAAGCTCTGCGGGTCTCCAAGCCAGTGAGTCTCACTTGCTTCCCTCCTAAGGCAGAGCCTGTCTGTGCCTGAATCTCCCAGGCTCTGGTCAGGCTCTGAGTTACAGACCCAAGCACAGCTGTCCTGGCTCCCTAGGCACCAGGATGAGACCTGGAGGTGATGCGTGTAGTACGGCCTGTATCCATGGCCCCCCTGTTCTGAGCTTCAGTGGAGTGGGCTGCAGAAAGAGCTATTTTCAGTCTCTTGAGTGTCCCCAAATCTCTGTGTTCACCCCGTCTGTGGTTCTTTTCTTCACTGGTGTAAACTCACTGTGTAAAGCACAGATTTCAGAATAACATTTCCTTTTCCTACATAACATCCTTAGGCAAGTCTATCAAGCTCTTTGACATGTTGACCCTATGACCTTCTCATGTTCCCTTCCTCTACCCGAATGGTCCCCTATGGTGATATTTTATTTGTATTAAAATGTTATTTGTATGTTAATAAATAAAGTTGCCCAGGGTCAGAGCTATTAGCAAGCCATAGGAAAGCAGGGCAGTGGTGGCGTACGCTTGTAATCCCAGCACTTGGTAGGCAGAGCTAGGTAAGTCTCTGTGTTCAGGGATACAGCCATTATTGGATACACATGCCTTTAATCTCAATACCAATCATGGAAAACCTGGAGGTCTATACAGACAGGCCGTGACAAGGCGGTCATGTGGTTGGGTTTACAACCAATGAGAAGGCAGAACAGAAACTCTATATAAAGACTTTAACACAGGAAGTAGCTCTCTTTCTGAGAGGTAGGACCACCGCAGGAGGAAGGGTAAGGTTTTAGCTCTTAGCTCTGACCTCTTGGCTTTCTTCTTTGCATTGGTTCTGTGTTTCTTATTTAATAAGAAGGTTGGTTACATCTACAGTCCCCCTTCTACCTCCATGGTGTGTGTGTGTGTGTGTGTGTGTGTGTGTGTGTGTGTAAAATCTAGATCCCATGTGTGAGAAAAAAGTGTGATATTTGTCTTTCTGAGTCTGGCTTTCCGTTTAGCAAGATAATCTCCAGTCCTACCCATTTTCTTGCAAATGATACAATCCTTTATGGTTGAATATAACTTCTCACTGTATTTTCTTTTATATATGCACGTGCTCATATACATGTAGGGTATGAGTGCATGCAGAGGTTGACTCTGAGCTTCTTCCTCAGCCACTCTACTTTTTTTGGAAATAGGGTTTCTCACTCACCCTGGAGTTCATTGATTCTGCTAAGCTCGCCAGCCAACGGGCATTAGGGATCTGCTTATGTCTACCCTAGATCTGGATTTACAGACACACTCCACCACAGTCCCCTTGTATGTAGGTGCTGAGATCTGTGCTCGGTCCTCATGCTTGCATCATGAACATTTTACCAGTGGAGCAATCTCTCCAGCCCCAGGACCACATTTTCTTCATCCATTCATCTGCTGATGGACAGCTAAACTGAGCCCATGACTTGGCAGGTATGGGCATCACCGTACAGGCATCTCTAGTCTATGCTGACATATATTCCTTTGGTATATAGTCTCATGAACGGTACAGCTGTATCATACGAAGTTCTGGCTTTGGTTTTGCATTCCTACCAGCTGTGGATTAGGGTGTCCTTCCCATCCTTGCCAGCATTTGCTGCTGTGGTGGTGATGACCATCCTGGTCACTGTGTTCAGTTCACTTGTGTTTCCCCAGGGGTACCGGTCCTGTGAACATTTGTTTTTTTCACATATTTATTGGCCATTTGTACTTATTTTGGGAATCATCTATTCAATTCATTTGCCCACTTATTGACTGGATAATTTGGAGAAGAAAATTTGGTGTTTAATTTTTTTAAGGTCTCTATATAGTCTGGATATTTAATGCTTGGTCACATGAATAATTGAAAAGGCTTTTGTGGTGGTATTGTGTTCCTCAAAATATTGTGTACCCTAATAAATTTATCTGGGGTCAGATAACAGAAAAGACACTAGATACTTAGGCTAGAAAACGTTGGCACTCACGCCTTTAATCCTAGCATTCCAGAGACAGAAATCCTTCTGGATCTCTGTGAGTTCATGGCCACACTGGAAACAGCCAGGCATGGTGACTCACACCTTTAATCCCAGAAAGCGAGCCTTTAATCCCAGGGAGTGATGGTAGAAAGCAGAAAGGTATATAAGGCGTGAAGACCAGGAACTAGAAGCATTTGGCTGGTTAAGCTTTTAGGTTTTGAGCAGCAGTTCAGCTGAGAGCCATTCAGATATGAGGACACAGAAGCTTCCAGTCTGAGGAAACAGGACCAGCTGAGGATCCGGCCAGGTGAGGTTAGCTGTAGCTTGTTCTGGTTCTCTGATCTTCCAATTCACCCCAATACCTGGCTCAGGTTTGATTTTATTAATAAGACTCTTTAAGATTCCTGCTACAGGCTTTCTTTTTTAAGGTTTGTTTAATAAATAATTTATGTGTAAGTGTTCAGGTGTTTTACCTGCACATCTGTCTGTGCACCACCTGTGAGTGCCCAGCGCCTGTGTGTGTGGGGGGGGGGGGCAGAAGTGGGCACTGAATCCCCCTAGAACTGGAGTTACAGACAGTTGGGAGCTGCTGTGTGGGTGCTGGGAACCAAGAGCAGGTCCTCTGCAAGAGCAGCCAGTGCTCCTAACTGCTAAGCCATCCCTCCAGCTCCTCTTTTCAGTGTTTATGTTCTCCCCCCCCCTCTCACTCTCCCTCCCTCTCTTTCTCTCTGTCTCTCTCCCTCCCTCCCTCTCTCTCTCTCTCTGTCTCTCTCTCCCTCTCCCTCTCTCTCCCTCCCTCTCTCTCCCTCTCTCTGTCTCTCTCTCTCTCTGTCTCTCTCTCTCTGTCTCTCTCTCTCTCCCTCTCCCTCTCTCTCCCTCTCTGTCTCTCTCTCCCTCTCTGTCTCTCTCTCCCTCTCTATCCCCCCCCTCTCTGTCTCTCTCATAGATTCCAGAGGTTGACTTTAGTGTCTTCCTCAGTGACTTACTTTGGAGACGGGGTCTCTCCCTGATCCTGGAGCTCACTGTCTCAGTACCCTGGCTGGCCAGCGAGCCCCTGGGATCCACCTGTTTCCACCCCAGCACTGGCATTTGTCTCAGCGCCACACCCAGCATCTGTGTGTAGGTGCCAGGGACCTGAACTTAAGAACACACGTTGTGCAGCGAGCATTTTGCCCACTGAACATCTCTCCAGAGCAACCCAAAAACTTCCTCACATTCTCTTGACTCCCTCTTCACAGTGAAATATCCTGTCAATAGTTCCAAGCAACCTTTATCACAGCAACACTGCTACCTGTGCTAGAACCTAGACCTGGAATTGTCACTCAGGGCTGGAACTTCCTCCTGACATCTGCTCTCACTGACATAGTCACTGGATGCTGGAAAGGGGAAGAAGGTAGAGGAAAGCCCCTCTGTCCTCTGACCCCTGGCGTCGGGGCAGTGGGGTAGCACGTGGCCACCATGCTGACAGCGACCTGCAGTACTTCACCTGTGCAGGCTTCTGTGCACACAGAAGTCCTGGGCCTTCTGGGGTGGAGGCTGGAAAAGAAGGCAATAAATGAGGGGAAGAGACCAGTGCCTGGCTGTGGCCCAGAGGAGGAGGCCACGCACTTAAGAAATGTCATGTCTAGTGTTTATATTCCATTCTGTCTCTCGGCACAAAGAGAGAAGAGAGAGCATGCCCCCGCAGGGTCACAGGCCCAGAGAAAATCCTGCACAGCCCCCAGGACAAGTAGCAGAGCCTGGCCAGACCCTCTGCATGAGAATCAGCACCCTCCTCAGAAGAAGCCACTGCCGGGGGCAGCTGGGGCCTGGACAGCTCTGCTTCAGATTTAAGACTGATTTTTTTTTCCTTAAGAAACCAGAAGAAAAGGTGGTTTTTTGAGCTCATCTGCATTACAGATCAGGCCTCGGAGAGAATCAGCCATCCATAATTCATTACATGTTTCCTGCCGGGGATGGAGACAGCCTGATCCTAGCAACAGAGTCATAGCAACAGGAGCTGAGGCAGAGCTGCTCCGCCCACCAGGGAGAGGACGGGGAGGGGTGGGGGGCGGTGAGGGAGGGGGGTGAGGTGCGTGGCTCCTGGCTCTTCACATGGAATGGCAAAGTTCACAGGGGTTACAAAGGAAGATGGGGGCTGAAAGTGGAGGTGGGGTTGAGGAAACTGGGGTGATGGCATAGAAGGAGGGAGAATGGGGAAGGGGTGGAGGGGGTTGGAAGGAAGAACATGTGAATTTGAGCTGCATAAACTCTAGCTAAGGTAGGAGGCCGGTAGTGTTTGTAAAGATCCTTGCCAGCTGCCACACTGTCTGGTGCCCATCAACTCAGTATACAGACAGGGTCACTGGGGGACCACCTCATTGTCAGTTGTTAACGGAATCACATAACTCTGAGGAGTGCCTGGCTGCCAGTGTGAAGGAAGTCCATGGGCTCTGAAGAGAGCATGGTGTGTAAACAGCAACCCTCAGCCCTCACTTGGTACATCAGTGTCACCAACTGGTAACAGTGTGCTCTAGACACACCTGCCGTTTGACCCCTCACTATCAAATACAAAGCCCACCTGACGCTGACCACTTGATCTTGGGGTCTTTGGGCCTATGAGGAGAACATTGTTTCTTCTATATTTGAAACTGTTGAGGATACTGGAGGAGCCACTGGACATTTGCAAAGCAATTCAGAAAATACCATGAAAGTTCTATATGGAGGACGCCATCAGAGCCACTGACACCCATGAACTGTGTGGAAATGACTACCAGAGCCACTGAAAGCTGGAAAGCCATGTGGAGGTCACCTCCAGAGGTACAGAAATCCTCAAGCCTGTGAGCGCCTGGTCAGAGAATGTGAGCCTTGCCATGTGGATGCTTGGACTTAAACTCAGGTCTTCTGAAGGAAGAGCCAGTGCTCTTAACTGCTAAGCCATCTTTCTAGCTCCCAAGCCTTGTTTTTGAAAGCTTCATTTTTTTTTTTCATCCTTTAGAAATGGTCCTTGTCACAGCAGCCACCACATGGTTCCCAACTTCTTAATGGAACCATGGCTAGATATACAGTACCTAGCCATCCATACAATCCTCTGACCACCCATAAAACAACAGTGGCCTCCAAGCAGCTGAGACAAGCTAAGAGCTCTCGAACATCACATGCACCCCTCTCACCGTTAGCTTGAGGGTGTTCAGATGATACTTGTCAACTACAGGCAGAGCAGTGAGGGTCTCTATGCCAGGTGAAGAGAATGTCATTTTGCTAGCCAATATGCCTTACATTCCAAGTCTTCATGGGACAACCTGCCCTCCTGAGCAGCATGCTGGCTGCTGGGACTCATGGGAAAGTGGCCCTGATCTAGAACAAAGGGCTCATTGGTCTGCCCTGTGTCTGCCCAGATCCTGAGTGAACACCATCCTGCCTTTGCACTGCCTCTACAGCCAAAGATGAGAATGTCTTAGGAGCCCACTGGTCTCTGCCAAACTGCTGAATTGAAGGTTATCAGGACCTGGGAAAGCATCCAGTACAAATAGAAAATTGTGATGCCCTGCAATCCCTTCTCACCCTGTGTCCCTAAAGCCAAGAGGGGTTCTGGCTAGCATAGTGTTCCCAGTCAGCCTGAGACCAGTGCAGGAGAGTTTCCTCCCTTCCCCTCAACATTGTCAAAACTATCTCATCTGAACATCTGGTGGTATTTTCCTGTGTTTGAAATGTTGGTTTCCCTAAGGCAGTGGTTCTCCAACTTCCTAGTGCTGTGACCCTTAATACAGTTCCTCATGTTGTGGTAACCCCCAATCATAAAATTATTTCCTTGCTACTTCATAACTGTAATTTTGCTACTGTTGTGAATCATAATGTAAATATCTGACATGTAAGATATCTGATGGGCAACCCCTGTGAAAGGATCACTCAACTTCCAATGGGGTCATGACCCACAGGTTGAGAACCACTACCCTAAGGTCAAATGGAAAAGCTACTGTCTTAGTTAGGGTTTCTATTGCTGTGAAGAGACATCATGACCATGGCAACTCTTATAAAGGAAAACATTTAATTGGGGTGGCTTACATTTTCAGAGGTTTAGTTCATTATCATCATGGTGTGACATGGTGGCATGCAGGCAGACATGGTGCTGGAGAAGGAACTGAGAGTTGTGCATCTTGACCCAAAGGCAACAGGAAGTGGTCTGAGTGTTAGGTTGAGTGAAGCTTGAGCGAAGGAGAGCTCAAAGCCCACCCCAAAGTGACACACTTCCTCTAACAAGACCATACCCACTCCAACAAAGCCACACCTCCTAATAGTGCCACTCCCTATGAGCTTATGGGGGCCAATTGTTCAAACTGCCACAGGTACCTTCAGCAATAGGTCAGTTTTGGAACCACTCATTCTGCAGAGTTCCTGTGGTCCCTTCAAAGCTCCCCAGGCACAGACACAGATGGGAATACTACTGACCACTGTAGGGGGAGGTAATCAGGAACATCAGCAAACCGAGAACAGGAGATCCGTGCCCTTGTATTTAAAATGATTCAATGACTCCTCCTGTGGGTGTGGTGACACTTTGCCTCAAAGAGTGGACAGGTGGCCATACCTGTAATGCGTCCTTGGCTGAAGCCTCCTCTGAAGCCCCCAAGAACCAGCCCCTGGCTGCTCAGGAGCGCCACTAACATCACAGCCCAGTCAGTGTCTTTGCTGTCTACCTGGTTTGATAAAAGTCTGTGGCAGGAGTCCAAACAGATCCACTGTTTTAAAATGTCATGATATGTGTTCCCCTAAAATGGAAAACACAAAGCAAGCAGGAGCACAGGCCCTAGCCAGCAACCTGTCAAGCTCACCTAGGCCGAGAGAACTCTAACACATTCAAGGATAACCAGGGACACTGGGTACTTAAAACTGTTCATGATCAGCAAGAGGGTTCTTGGCAGGTAAAAGTACCCAGCACCAGCTGTATAAGCTGAAGACCTGAGTTCAGTTCCTGGACCCATACCCCAGTCACACACAAAAATAATAAACACAGTTATAAAAGCTGTTCCTGTGCAACTGCTCACTGGCGGGCTTGGTAAAGCTTGGTGACACAAAGCTTGTGATCTCTTGCCTGGGTTATATCTCTGGGACAAAAGCTACTTGTAAGAAGATGCGGCAGCCCTGGGTAGCGGAGAAGCAAGCCATCTCCATCCTTTCCCGTGAGCCTCCTGCCCAATTCCAACATCATGGGTGTCTCTCAGACATGAGTGTGTGTGTGTGTGTGTATGTTTGGGTGGTTTCTCTTCATGTTCCAATTGCATGCGAACTGGCCTGTTAATTTTGCCATGTGACCTGGTTTCTACGATGTTTTTTGCCACTGGCTATTTTATTATTAGCAATATATAACTGCTGCATAAAAAGAGATCCTCTTCCCTGGCTCTTGTGGTTGTTGACCTCTATGTATTTCTTGTGGAACCTGGAGATCTATTTCACATTCTCACCCAAAGAATGGGCTCTTGTCCACAGAATAGCTCATCAGCTATGTAGGTGTGGTTGGGGTGACTCTCGAGGACCTGCCAACCACCCACAAGCTTCCGTATTCTTCTTCCTTAGTGACTGCTCCAAACCATGGCTATGATCACAAACAAAGAGAAAAGAATGGTAGTGAGTGGGGAACCATTGTTCCAGAAGGGGCAGGTGTGCATGACAGACTGGGGTATGGGCACAGGCACTAAAGCCCATTACTATTCAGCCCAGGAAGTGAAAGTTTTATTCATGCTCAATAGGAACTAAAGCCTCCTCCTCCTCTTCCTCTCCCTCCTTCTCCTCTTTCTTCTCTTCCTTCTCCTCCTTTTTGAAAGAAGGTTTCACTGTTCAGCCCTGGCTGACCTGGAACTTGCTCTGTAGAAAAGGATGGCTTTGATGAATTTAACAGAGATCCACCTGCCTCTGCCCAGTCCTGGGATTAAAGACATGTGCTCCCACCCCAGCCCAAGTGGTGACTTTGGACAGCCCCTAGAAACAGCAGGTTTATATGCTACCAAGGGAAGAACTGGATATTTTAAATTTTCAAAGTAAACTGTCTTGAATTCCTGGGTTAATTTTCTCTACTATGTTTGGAACTTTCTCTTGGCAACCATCAAGATCATTTTTTATCAAACTCGGGGACAGGAAGCACTAGCTTCACTGTGAGTTAAGTGGGATACAATTTGGTGTGAAGTTCTGGTCTCAATGCGTTTCCTTCTGCCTGGCTGGAAGAGTCACTGTCACCCCCGTAGATGCATTTTTTTTTTTTTTTTTTTTTTTTTGGTTTTTCGAGACAGGGTTTCTCTGTGTAGCTTTGCGCCTTTCCTGGTACTTGCTTTGGAGACCAGGCTGGCCTTGAACTCACAGAGATCCACCTGGCTCTGCCTCCCGAGTGCTGGGATTAAAGGCGTGCGCCACCACCGCCCGGCGTATTTTACTGAGTTCTTTTATGCCACTTCCAGCCATAACTCCTCCAAGGTCATTGCCCTGCCTTAGGTAAGGTGTATGTATACTTCATCTGCTGTGTGCTGTCTGATCTAACCCTCCCAGCCACTGTCCTCACTGGCACGTCCCTCCTCTGGCTCACAAACAGGCACCGGAAGCACGCAGCACCTCACACTCATGCCCACAATGCACTATTAGAAGTCAGTGGTGTTGAAATTTGCATATAAGAGGAAAAGCAATCGAACTGACTAGGGCCTAATGCCTTTTAAATTATTTTATTTATTATTTCATGGGGGGGGGCACATGCATACCACAGCACCTGTGTGGAGGTCTGAGAAACTATGGGGTGTCAGTTCTCTCCTATCACCATGAGGGTTCCAGGGCTTGAATTCAGGTAGTCAGGCTTTTGCGGCAAATACCTGTACTGGCCGAGTCATCACGCCTTGCCTAGACTAGTGTTTTTAAACTAATTGGATGATGGGTGACACATGCTACTTCCAGCGTGTGCCTTCCCCTCAGAGGGCTCCATGGTCATAAGCAGCATCTACTGGGGTGCAAAAGGGGACCTCCAGGCAGTGCTCAGCAGCAGATCTGTGTGGATCTGAAACAGGGAGGGAGGTGAGGTGGGGCAGGAGAATGTGCCGGAAGTCAAGAACTAGGGCTGATGTTCATGGCAGCCAAACACATGGCATCACGGCTTTCCCTTGACATTAACCGTTATTAAAATCAGACATTGTAACAATAGAAACTGCTCCCTGCTGCTTTACACTGCCCTGGGCCAGTCTCCAGGCTGCTCCCACACAGGTAAGAGGGCAGAAAGTGCAAAATTCCATCGCTCCCTGATTCCCAGCTGTGACCTCCTGCTGTAGCAGGCCAACTCTACAGGCCTCCATATCTGGCACCAGCTTCAATTCCAGGAGGAATTCTTAGTTGACCTCCTGTGATGACAGCAGGGGTCAGAGGCAAGGTGAGCCCTGGCTGGACCCAAGCAGTCCGCCATACCTGTCCCCCTGGATCTTAAGGTTGCAGCCCTATGTTTGGCCTCACACATGCATGCTGCACACACACACGGGCCACATGCATCCATACACAGGGCTCATTTCTCTACCTTCTGAATTTGGTGCCCAAAGACGATTGCCATTCTACTTATGGGCTAAAGAGAAACCACCAGGGCACATGTCACTCATCAGTGTCTGTGGGCCAATCATAAAACAGATTCATGTCGTAGCAGCGTGCTTATAAAAGACGTGGTGTGCTCTGCTGGGCAGCGGTGGTGCACGCCTTTAATCCCAGCACTTGGGAGGCAGAGGCAGGCGGATCTCTGTGAGTTCGAGGCCAGCCTGGGCTACAGAGTGAGATCCAGGAAAGGCTCCAAAGCTACACGGAGAAACCCTGTCTCAAAAAAACCAAAAAAAAAAAAAAAAAAAAAAGACGTGGTGTGCTCAGTCACATCCTCTCTGGGACTGCAGAGATGGCTCCGTGGTTAAGGATACTGTCTGCTCTTCTAGACGAGCCCAGCATCCACGTAGGGTGCTTCACTGTCACCGAACTCCAGCTTCAATGAATCTGATGCCATCTTCTGGCTTCTGGAGGTACACTCCAACACTTGGCAGACACAGACACATACACACATAAAAATAAAAGTAAATATTACTTTTAATGTCCTCTGGGCAAAGATTTACTAGCCAGGAGGGAGCATGTCTATGTTCCTAAACAATGTTTTTGCTGTTGTAGGGGTTTTTTTAAATTTGTTTTTATTTTTAATTATGTGTATGCATGTGTGTGTCTATATATACATATGTTCACATTCATATGGATATCCACAGAGGCCAGAAGAGGGTGTTGGATCTCTCCAAGCCAGAGTTACAGGTTGTTTCGAGCTGCCCGGTGTAGGTAGGTGGTAATATTCCAACCCAGGTCCTCTGCAAGAACAGCAAGTGCTCTTAGTTGCTGAGCCATCTCTCCAGCCCAACTGTTGGGGGATTTTTATTTGTTTGGTTTGTTTTTTTGAGATGTGGTCTCATGTAGCATCGGCTGGCCTCAAATTCACTATGTACCCAAGAATGCTTGAACTCCTAATTGTTCGATCTCCTACTCCCAAGTGCCAGGATGACGGATGTGTGCCACCATGTTACCTATACCTAGAAAAATAGCTTTTTGTTTATTTGTTTGGGTACTAGGGATTTAACTTGTGGCCTTGAGCTTGCTGGGAAAACACATTACAGCTAAACTAAATTCCCAGCTCTCAATAAAACTCTTAGAGGGGGTTAATTGCCTGAAACACACACACACACACACACACACACACACACACACACACACACACACACACAGAAAGGTAGGGTGCAAAGACATGTGCCTATAAGGATTCAGCTTTTGTCTGTCATAAAACATGTCCCCAAAACTGTGTGGGTTGTGAGGGTAGCAGGTGGGACTCCAGGAAACTTCAATGACGTCCTGGGTCAGGCAGGTACTGGTGGCTCTTGAACACCCTTAATCTACCTGTATTTTCCAGTTCTTTAGTGAGGGCAATGAGCAGGTGGGAGGAGCTGTAATTCAGGGACCTGCCTCCACTAGAAGGTTCTAGAAAACATCACTGTTGGCAGAGACTGAGCAAAGCTTCAGATGGGGTTTTCAGAAGAAGTCGAAGCGGGGCACAGGTCAGCTTCAGTTGTCTGACCTTCCCTGTGGTCACCATGGGCGAAGAGCAGGGAGAGCGCCTCACTGACAGGCACCTCTTCCCTGGAGGCGGCCTCAGGAAGCAGAGCACAAGCCGCTTGACTGTCCCTGAACAGGGTCTGGCAGCAACACCCAGCTGCCTCTTCCCAAAAAGACACGGAGCTAAAGGAAGTGATGGGACGTCTTCCCGTCAGAGGCACAAGGAGAGACCAATACCCAAAGCAGTTCTTTATCATGCCTCCCTTCTTTCTCCTTTTACCTCTTTTCTCTCCTCTTTCTTGTCTTTCCAATTCAACGCTGACACAGAACGGGATAAGCCCTTCATCTCTGGGCAGGTGACCCGGTCAGTCTCTCCTGAAAGACAGGCAGACACTGTGAGTCTAGAGACTGTTTCCACCCAATCGCGAGGCCGGTCAGCTCAAAGCACACAGCGAGCAGGTCACTGACCTTCCCACAGAGAGCTTTCAGGGGTGTACAAAGGGGGAAGGCAGCCTTTAGTTCTCTCCAGCCAGGGAAGCTGAGAAAATGACCTTTGGCTCCTGGCTCTGCAGGGGGTAAGGTTAGAGAGGGGCCAAGAAGAAAAGCCTGCTCCTTACACTCTCCCCTGGGGCTGGGAACCAAGGGGAGGGGGAAACCAGGGGGACCTCAAACCTCTGAAAGACAGAACTCTGTGTCCCTCACCCCAGGAAAAATGACCCCCACACACAACCCATATTCCTGGAGCCCAGCTGGCTCCAATTGAGCAAGGATGTTTCTAACTCTATAACCTAGAAATCAGAAATAAGAGTGGAAAATTTTAAACCCAAAATCTCAAGGACAAGGGATAGAATCAGGGAGCTTGTGAGCAGGGACAATCAGGACTCAGAGCCATGAATTGTGATGGTTTTGATTAGAGAACAAATTGTATAGCCGTCTTCAGCTGCCTCTCTCCTGACAGCTCAGGACATAATAGAGTGGATTGGGGGGTGACAGGTGGAAGGGACTGCCCCTGCCTTTGAGTGTTTATTTTCCAAAGAATTGCCCTCTATCCACACGTCCTCAGAACCAAGCAAGCTGGGGCCAGTGTAAGAAGCCAAGGACAGGCAAGGAACATACCAGCCTCTGCCCTGACAGTGACCAACTGAAGGACATCAGGGAAGTTCAGGCATTGTCCACAGAAAGGAAGCTGTACTTTGTCTACCACATGGGAGTTTATAAAGATCCCAGGACATCCCCTGTGCATGCTCCACAGCAGGGCTTCAAAGGGTGAAGGATCATATATAATAATAATACAAAAGAGGAATGAAGCACCCATTCAGCCCTGGGTGTGAGCAAACACCATCTACCCAGCCTAGGGCATGGAGTAGGGGGTACTCATTCTATCCGAGATAGTGCTGTCAAGCCCAGACTTCTCTGGAGCCATTAGTTACCCAAGCAATGTTGTACAGGCTGGTTGTGAGACCCTTCCCTACCAGAGTGCCACTCACCTTTACATCCCTTGAGGAATCCCTCTTCATGGTCCCCAGCCTTCTCTAGGACTTCCTAGCACCCCACAATATCACTCACACCATGTCTGCTATCTGAAGGGATTAGTATTGGCTCAGGACACACCAAGACCAAGTTCTCAACACAAAGGAGATTGATTTGGCCCAGAGGGACAAAGAGCAAGGAAAAAGAGACAAAGACTGGAGATAGAGGACGAGGGAGAAGGGGAAGGGAACAAGGGAGAGGGGTCGGGGTATTTGTCCCAGAGTGGGACAAAGGACTGATTCTGGATAGAGAGGAGACAAAGCTAGCCAATAGACAAGTGGTGATTTATAAAGGCAAAGGGGAAAACTCCATGTTAGGATGAGGTGTTAATTGGGCATATTAATTAGGTGAGCCAAAGGGGACTTTTGATTGCTGGACTTCAATACTTTGATAGTTGGACCCTGGTGATCAGCTTCAGGGGGAAGAAGTGGCCAAATAAAGGAATAGTCCTTGGTGGCTAGCTTTAGAAATATAATCTAATGGTTTTTAGCAAGGCTGAGGGAATGCAGGAGAGGGCAAGGCCTGCCAGAGCCATGTTTGCCATGCTCAGGCTGGCTAGAGTCCCTTCCCTATCTGCTCCACCATTCAAGAGTCGGCTGAAGGCTAAACCCTTCTTCCTGGCCAATCAGCACTGCCTTTGGGCCAGTGTACCAGGTACTAAAATGGTGACTGGACCTGGAGCTTTACATACCATAGACCCTCAGGAAGTCCCAGAAGTTAGTACTGCATCCATGCACCGAAGCATGGAGCCAGCAAGCCACTTCCCACTGATGGGACTGGAATTCAAATTCCTATCCTCTGGGATACCCAAGCTGGTCCCAGGAGAGGAGAGCCTGGGCTACCTGAGACTTGTTTCAACAAAACAAAACATAAAAATGGCCCCTTAGGGAAAGAGTGCTCATGTGTTCCTACCTGGAAACATACGGGGACATCAGCATCATTTCAGCCGAGAATAAATCCCAACCCCTTATTTTTTTCCTTCTTGCAGTGGCCTGTTTGTCAAGAACAGAGTCAAAGATGACACCCACAGGGATAGATTGTGCCCGAGGACAAGGGCCATCGGTTTCTACTTGGAGCCAGGCGGCTCCCTGGCTGGGGACAGCAGTTGGCTCTGGGGCAGAGCCCATTCCTTGAACTCTAGAGTCCACAGCAAGCAAGAGACAATGCTCCAGGGGTCCACACGCTCGCAGGAGGCTCCCCCTGCAGGCTGGGAAGGCTCAGTGCGCCCCTGGTTTCCTGCTCCACAACAGCTTCCCGGTAAATCCTTGTGTCAGTTTCACTGGACACTGAGCGAGAAAAGCGATGCTGGGAGGGACGGGGAATGACACACACAGCCGCTCCGGAAGACATTAACTCAGAGCCCGATGCACATGAGAGGGTCGCAGGACCTCAAGAGCTGCCCTTTGTCACATTAACACTGATAAATGACAGCCGAGCCCAGAAGGAACGGTGACCGGGCAGGGCGTCTGTCAAGGAGAGTATGATGGATGTGGAGATGCGGCCAGACAGCAGGGTCCACCGTGTAGACACAAAACTTGTTGCTCCAGGAACCAGGTCTGTCCTCGGCCCCCAGATCTCTGACACAATATTCCCTGTTCATGCAGGCTTTCCTCTTCAACCTGATGCTTTCTTAAAGAGATGGCTGCCGTGGAAGTACAGAACATCCAGGGAAAAGCAGGAACTAAGACCCAATCTGGGAGGTGGACCACATATTTAAAGAAGTGAGAATCCACCCTTCCCAGGAAACAGCTCCTACTTGCTGCAGGCAATGAAGGGGGTGATTCTGCCCCAACCCCAACCTGTCTGTCAGGCCCTCACATCACACAGTCAATGGCGGATGGTATCAATAGGAGGGGGAGGGTCAGATTGTCAGAACACACAGAGATGCAAGGTAGACCTTGGACAGTGACCAGTACAGCCCGTGGGTGAGACTGTCTAGTTCTTGAAATGTCGTGATAAAATGTCTTATACAATATTAGAAGGACCACCCTTAATGTTATGCGTCCCTGGGGCTCAGGGGAGAGAACTACAAACGGTGAGGACTATTTTCAGGAAATAGAATCTCAGCACACAGAGCTCTTAGTCCAGTCATTTATTCTTTCAAATCTTTGTCCGCCTGTGCTCTGGGAGCCGCAGTATATATACACTTACAAGCAGTAATCCCTTGGCAGTGCAAAGCCAGGCTTCCAGGGTCAAACAGAGGGGTGATAAGAATCACATAGAGGGACAATAATTGTTAATTATCATTTGCAACCCAAAAGGGAAGTGACTAATGAATTACTAAAGGCTAAATTCAGGTAATATCTAAGAAGAGGGATCTTATGTGCTCAACTATAATCTTAAACGTGATTAGTAGAAAGTGTTAAGAATCTATAAGTTGCTAGGTCAATGGGAGAAAATAAAACTGCCTTCTTTTTTCCTGTGGCTCCTATCTGTCCAAACTATCTGCCATTTTTCTGCAGGGTGCATGGGGAAAGTGTGCTCGGTTGCTAGGCAACCTGTATACAGCTAGATGCCTCTGGTGATAGTTAAAGGGAGATCTGGAACTGGAGATAGGATTTGGGAAAGGAGGAAGTTAAGCTTAATTGTCACATCCGCCAGGCCTTCTCAAACGGATAGTCTGGACACTTAAGTCTGTTCTAGAGAGTACAGAGGTATCTCTGATAAGGTAGTTTCCTCCTTCTGGGGATTGTCCTGACCGGATGCTGCCAATGATGATAATTACAGGGAGGCTTGAACTGGGGTTCTGGCTGTGCACAGCTGTCAGTGCAGGTTATCTAAATATTCCTTTAGTAGAGGGGAAATGGTGCCCAATAAATGATGGAAAAGCTACAATAGCACACAAGAAACTCATAGCAAGCAACGGCTGATAATCAAAAGCCAAATATCACCAAGGCTCCTTAAGCCTTAGCTTGACCTCTGGAAGGCCCTTGGCTTCTTACAGGTATTAGCTTTATCATAATCAGCTGAAATTCTACTTTGTATATTTTTGCAGCTTGTAGCAAAAATGAGTGGTGTAAGACCATCCTACACCCAGCCCCGGTAGCCTCACACCTGAAGTCAAGATACCCTCACTACCTCTAACAGGAAGAAGGCTCTGAAGAGAGCCCCTCCCCACCCCCCACACTCCTCTCCTAGTTTCTGGTGTTGCCAGAGACTCTTGGAGTCTTTAGCTGATGGAGGGACCACTCCGGTCTGCTTCTGTTTCCATGTGGCCTCTGTCTCCGTGAGGCCTCCACGTGCCTCCTCCTGTCTCCATGTGGTTCTTTCTTCTTTGTCTCCATGGCTTCCTCCATGTCTCTATTTGGCTCCTCTTCTCTACACAGCTTCTTCCTGTCTCCATACAGCCTCCTCCTCCTCCTCCTCCTCCTCCTCCTCCTCCTCCTCTTCTTCCACACAACTTCACACAGATGACTTATAAGGAGAGCAGACACTGGATGCTGGGGCCCCGGCCCTGAATAGTCTCACCTGAACTGGACTGCGCTGTAAAGATCCTTCGCAGGTATTGATGTGGGGATGGCTTTCAGATGTCTTTGGGTGGCAAACCCAGCCCACAGCCTTAAACTTTTGATCTTCCTTCTTCCTCCCTAGTACTGGGATGGCAGGCATGTACCACCACACCCTGTTTTATGTGATGCTGGAGTCAAACACTGAGCCTTGTGCATATTTGGCAGGCAATGTACCAGCTGAGCTACAACCCAGCACTGACCTCCTAATTCTAAACTACGCTTTGGGACCATCGAGTAGCTCTGGATCAGCTGTCAGCAGCACAGATGGAGATGGGGAGCAGGAGTTATCCTGAAGACTCCCCACTCTCCGTGAGCTAGAGGGTATCACTGGCAAGGACACATCTATGAACAGCTAATGTGGCCATGTTTGGGTTGGAGGCTTTCTTCCAGTAAAAAGTTTGGCTAAGATAGACCAGTAGCCAGATACAATATTATGTTGTATGCTATTTTGTTTGTGTTCTGACAAATAAAGCTTGCCTGGAGATCAGAGGGCGGAGCTAGCCACAAGTTAACCATAGAGGCCAGGCAGTGGTGACACACACCTTTAATCCCAGCACTTGGGAGGAGGGAGCAGGAAGATCAGGAGTTCAAGACCACCCTGGGCTACACAAGATTGAATCAGTCTAAAAGAGAAACAAAGCCTAGTGTTGGTGGTATTATATTCCTTTAATCCCAGACTAGGGAGGTGGAGGCAGGATTATAAAGTGGGTGGAGAAAGGATCTCAGGCAGGGGTGGGATGGGTTAGGGATGTAGGGGGGGCATTCGATCTGAGATTTCGCAGAGGTAAGAACTCTAGTGGTGGCTCTGCTTCTCTGATCTTTCAGCTTTCACCCTGATATCTGGCTCCAGGTTTTTATTGTTAAGACTAATTAGGGTCATGCTTCAATATTATATATCTTAACACCAGCTATTCAAGGCTGGAGCAAGGTGTGAGCATGGAGTCAGAATCCTTTCTCATGTACTGTCTTCGGAAAACCCAGTCTAATCCGTGAGTAGGCTAAAGCTAAATTCAGCCAGGCCTTGTGGCTCACGCCTTTAATCCCAGTACTCAGGAGGCAGAGGCAGGCAGTTATCTGTGAGTTCAAATCCAGCCTTGTCTACATAGTGAGTTCTAGGACAGCCAGAGCTCTATATAGAGACCCTGTCTCAAAAACAACAACAAAAAGCCGGGTCCAGTGTCCTTTGTCACTCAGTGCCCCCAATAGCACAGGGCAGATCATCCGCTGTAATTGCTCTGTGTTTACAGATGTGACCAGCACCAGCGGTGGGGTCCTGCAGTGCACAGACCCCTGTTGCCCCACCCCACCCACCAATCTCACCTCCCAGCAGCCTCAGCTTGACCTGAAAGACCTCAGGTTTAAAATTCTGTCTTCAGGGATTGTCCCCACCCCAGCAGCTCTCTTGAGGAGAAGTACACTGAAGGGTTGTACTTTGTCCCAAATCCTTGGCCGTGACTCTGGGGTCATGGCACGTGTGACCTGAAGCTCATGTAACTAGGGCACCTGTAGGCACGCGTCCATGCTCGGCATGACACGTTACACAGCCTCTAGGGAGTGGAGGAACTGCTCTCCAGGACCAGCCACCTCTGTACACCCACACCAGACCTTCTACCAGCGATGGAGCAGCTGGCAGGTTCCCTGGGCCTGCTGAGCCAGCTTGACCTACTCCCACGCTAGCACCGCACCGGTGGCCTGCCCCTGGCAGGGGCCTACACAGCACCTTCTGCTTGGGAGTCTTCCCTCTGGTGCCCTGCATACATACATTGCTGCTTCCCTGTGCTGCTGGGCTCGGGGCTTCGTAGGACACCTGAGCAGGGCAAGGCTGCTGTTCTTGAAGCAACATCGAAATTCTCAGCTGCTGGGCAGGCTCTGTTGTGTGGGTCGGGTGGATGGGTTTAGAGTCCGCGGAAAGGTCTGCTGTGATTGTGCCGTGAGAAGGTCTGTGTCTATCCGAAGGGTGCTTCCCGGCCTCGCCACAGGCTCTACACCCATGTATGAGCACGGGTCACCTGTGGGTGAGTGTCTAACTCTGGTGACGGCTGCCAGCCATCCAAATCCTGGGTGGTGTGGCTTAACACCTGGAAAGGAGGCACTTCCCTGAGTGCTTGTTTCTTATACCTGCTCCAAAGACTCCCTCTGTACTGAAAGAAAAGCGTTTTCAACTAAAAAAGATGGTGGAAAAGGAAATTTTCAAGCTCTTCCCTTAAGAGTTCCCAATTTGCCGTACGGAGCTCAGTGTGAGTCACAGCAGCCAACAGAACGGGCTGCATCTGCGCCATCGGCCCCCACAGAACGAGATGAAGTCCACGGCCTCTGGAAACTTCTGAAATTGTTGGTAACCATTTTCCTCATTAGTGGCCACAGATGGCGTATGACAAAGGAGCATCAGGGCTGTCACTCGGTGTTGGCTGCAACCGGCGACTCCATTCCAGTTTGATCTTTCAATTCAAAGAAGAGTCTTACTTTTTTTTTTTAACTTGGGCTTCCAATATTGTCTCATATCTACCATTTGGACTCTTTGTAAGTGGTTCCTAAAATTCAAAGAACTGGCTTGTGTTAAGTGTAT